AATGCCCGTAACGAAGGCCATCTCTTCTCTCTCACGAGGATCTACGTCGACACCAAGGATCCAAGTAGAGTTACGGTAGTGTTTTGGCGCAGAGAGGAACCGAGTAAGTACAGAGTGGTACACTGAGCTATCTGGATCAGTACCCATTAACCACAAAGCCATATGGAAGGTTGATGGAAACTGAATCCGACCTCCGACGGTCGGTTGAACACCGTCGACACCAACAGAAAATCGGACTAGGGCAGGGTGGTGGTACTGGTCAATAATCAGAGAAAGCTGCCCTGCCTTGGACAAGTGGTGACCAAGGCGCTAATGTCCTTGCCCACAAGCACGCAATTTCCACTGGACCGGGCGACGGCGCTCTGTGATGGGGTGTACTTTGATATCCGCCGCGCGCTGGTCAAACAAAAAAAAAATGAAATATTCACGTTAAACGTGAACCAGACGCAAATGAAACGCAAATCCTGAAACCATGTACTTTTCCGGCGAAAACTCGATCTGTGGTACGGGCGACGGCGAGACTACGCTGTTCAAGATCTCCAAACGGCTCAACTTTGACGTGCACCACGAATTTGCGGCGCTTGACTACATCTGGCGCAATTTGCCCGTGCAATGGTGGAGTGTCAAGCCGGTAGGTGTGGATACGGTGCCCGTAGACCCGGACGTGTTTGCGGGATTACTGGAGCGCATGGATACACCCGAGACCCTCCGTGACGATCCCGCCGACCTATTTGACGTGGGCATTGACAAGATTGTTGTTGACATGCTGTGCACCGAGCGGCTCACGCGGATACAAAGCGCCGTTGACAACCGCACGTACGCATCGACGGCCAACTACGCCGCGCAGACGCTGGCGGCGTTCCACAACCTAATGTCCAACCGCGTCACACACTACGATGCGCACAGTGAGAACATGGTGACGACGCCGTGCTCGGTGGATCTCATGTTTGTGTACGAGCCGCTGCAGATGGCGATCCCGACACTGGGGGTGTGTAACAAGGTGATTGACTTTGCAACGTGCTACACACCGAACGTGGACAAGCAGTTCTTTACCAGCCCGCTGATCTTTGTCAACAGCAACTACCTGACGTACCGGTACGATGCGCTGACTGACCTGCGGACGTCCATGATCCAACTGGCCAACGACATGTCGGAGATTCTGGGTCCCGATAGTCCCGCTGAGCCGCCCATGTTTACCGGACACGTTTTTAAGGCCAAGGAACTGCTGGCGGAGATCACGGCCCTGAACCACCGGTTCTGGAACACGTACTATCTGGACCGGCACACGGGACGCATCGAGACGGGACTGGCGGGCAAGGAGGAGTACGTCGAGATGCTACTCAAAGACGACAATCTCGACACGGCTTTTATGATGCACGAGCTCGTGTACTTGGCTCAGTCGCACGTGCAGAACCGCGAGTACAAGGACTGGGTGGCGCTGTACAACACCAAGACGCGCGTGGAAATTGTGGGTCTTGTCAACCAACTAGCGGTGCATTTGCTGCCACTGGTGGACGTGTGTGAGGACGAGCTGTCACAGTCGTACTTTTGCCGCATACTGGTCAAGTACATGTCGGACGCCGTGCGGTTGCACGAGACGGCGGCGGAGGAGGGGTCGGACACAAAGGGCATTGCGCGCGCGCGGTTTGGGTCGCGCGTGATGCTCGAGTTTGGTATGTACCGCAACATGGAGGACATCCCGGCCATGGACTTTGAGAAATTGTACGATATGCTGGTGGCGTTCGTGGGTGTGGTGGATTTCCTGTTGGCGCGAGAGATTGTGAAGAACGAGCGCATCTACGACGGCGTGTACGCGGATCTGGACGCCAAGGTTGTGTATGGCGAGTACGCGGCCGTGATATGCCGCCATCTGCTGATGCCACCCACGACACCGTACACCAAGTTCTGCTTCAGCAGCGAGCCGCAGCGCGTGGTCGCGATTCCGTCCAACTGCGGCACGCTCATAAAACAGCTGGATGCGGCCAGGACAACGCCAATCGAGTACTATGCGATACTACAGAAGAACAGAGCCCTGATGGTTCCCATCAAGATGTCGGCCGAGCACGCCATGTCGTTGTTCCCGTGAACAGCATTGATTCACATAGATGTTGAAATAGAATAAAAGATAGGAAAACACAACTTAGTTTTCATCGTCCACGTCTATACGCTCGACGAACCGGCGGTACGTCAGATCAAACCGCTCGCGATCGGTCTTGATCTCCCGGAACAGCTTGTCGATGCGCTTTTCGTTTTCACGGTGCTCGCGCTCGAACTCCTTGATTTGTGTGCTCATGGCCCGCAGCGGTGGCGACTCCTGGTCGCGCAGTTGGTTGGTAATGTTCAGATAGACTTGCTCGCTGCGGTACATGTACATACGACGCATCTCATTACACGCATCGTCTATGTCGTCCACTTTATCGGGCCGGTTCGGAGGCCGATCCTGCTGGTTGCCGGCCAGCGCTGAAAACTCGGAGATTAGGGTGCGCGTGACACTCTCGTTGAGTGCCGCATCCGTGAATCGCTTGGTCTCACGCAGCATATCGGCCTCAACGGTCGCGTTGCGCTCCGTCAATTCGCGGTGCTGGTTGATTTTCGCCTGCAGCGTGTCTATACTCATACTTTTTTGTTTAGTATACATTTTATAATAATAAAAATCCAGTGTGCAAAGTTGTGATTTTTTTGCACGAACGCAACTTTTTCAGCAAAATAGAAACGCTTTAACAATGTTGCTTGTCGAGGAAAGAGCCGGGTTTGGGGCCGGTGTAGCCACCGACACGGTCTCACGCGATCTGGGCGGCGAAACCGTCGACGCGCTCGTATACACGGGCCGCGTGCACCAGCGCATCAACCTGATCAAAGAATTGCTAGCGGCGTTTCTCGGAACCAAGTCACGACTGGACGTCAAGCGCAACGTGCTGATTGTGACCGACAGCGAGTTTAAAAAGACCCTGGACCTCCTGCGCAAGACAAACTCGTTCCGCCGGTTCCGAGTCCTGTCAACACCAACTCTCAACAGCAACACGATCAGCGAACAATGGGTCGCCAAGTTTATCGAGAATCACGACACCCTGATTATCATTGACGATGCCGTGTACAACTGTGCGATGAACCGCGTCAAGCTCCACCGCTTATTTGAGGTGGCCCAGAACATGGACGCGACGCGTGTGCGCTTTGCCGTGATCGCACACGACTACGATACGGGCTACATGTGCTTTGCGGACACTGGCCTATCGGTGCAGAAACGGTCGTTCCCGACCAACACGACCATTCGACACTACTTGGTCGAGGCACCGGGTCGGAACAGCCAGTTTACGCGGATCCTGCGCAACATTGCCATTTTGTACGCATTTGCCCAGAGCCGGGGATACAGGGGCATGCGGGACAACTTGAGCGCGGTGCACGCAACACTGCTGTTTAAACCGGAGGTCCCGATGCAGTACCTCGGACGCATCACGTCCGACTGGCTACAGTGTCTGGGACGTACGGTCGACGGCGAGGTGCAGACAACCCTGGTGGTCAACAAGCCACCAAAGCACATGGACCTGACGTGCGGCATACCCACGGATCTCGGTATGAGCCAGATCGCCGACATTGCGACCCCCGAGCAAATCTCGTATCTGATCAGCAAGATTACGGGCGACTGTGAAAACTGGTTCCGGCCCGCCAACCAGAAGGCGCGGGACGACGTGTCGACGGCCTACATTGGCCTGATCACCAAGATGGTCAAGGTGCACCGCGTCGACGGTGTGGCCATTGTCATCAACAACCGAATCGTGCCGCTGGATTTGCTGTGCAACGAGTATCAGGACTACACGCTGCTCGGCCCCAACTCATCGGTCCCCGAACCCGCGGCCCAGTGTTTGAAGGCCAAGCGCGGCTACATCCACGGGGTATCGACCAATTCCCGCAAGTTTACCACGGTGATTGACCTGTTCCCGGCGCTCACGCGCGACCCGACGACGCTGATGGACGTGATGGTCGAGGGCAAAGACTTTACATCGTTTTCCTTTGACATGTCCATATCCAACCACAACACCGATACCACACACGACCTGACACACACGGACAAGATCGGTACGCGCGTCAAGTACATTACCCACCACCTGTCGAGCCTGATGCGGCTCAAGCCGAGTGCATCGCTGTACACGTACCAGTCGGCCACCAACCACGCAAAGTACCTCAAGGCCAAGCAGCGAGAGCAGTCCGACGAACTGGACGTGTCGCGAAACGAGCGGGTGAGAAAAAAAAATGAAGAAATCCGCCTGAAAAAAAAATTACATGTACTTTAACAATAAAATACATTCGAAAGGAATAATGAGCATGATGTCGTACCTAGGCTTCCATCCCATCAACCGGCCTCCGCGCAAAATGGCCCACACCACAAAACTGGAGATGCCGGTTGAGAAGTGCGAGTATGGGGTCAACCGATATTTGGCAATGTACGAGGCCGTGCAGCGCGATCTGCTGGCACACACACCAAAGATTGTCCCGAACCCCGTGTTTGAGAGTGGGACTGCGTCCCCGATGCTAAAGGCGGCGTGTGCGGCGAATCCCCACGAACTACACGAGCTGGCACGTCGCATGCAGCTTGTACGCGACATGCGCGACTCGGCCGTATGCTACGACGCGCAGTTCGGTGTGCCTGACACAACGTACTGTACAGAGAGCGAGTACGTACAGTTCATGTTCCCCGTGAAGCCGCCACACAAGCAGATTGTGGTGGCGCACCACACCGAGGACGGGTCGGTGCGCGGCTCGAGCGTGACGTTTGTGCCAACTGAAACCGTGGCGGTGGATGGGGGCGAGACGCTCCCGGAACTGCACTCGGTCGACCGCGAGTCCGAGTACGCCGATCTGGTTGCGGACGATCCGGACATTAACCGCACCAAGCGCAGGCACGCAGCAAGCTGGTTCCGGTTTTTATTCTAGATTGCGAAAAAAGCCACTTGGCATATTTGTACGTATTTGATCCGTGTCGTGTAAAAAAAAACTTTCCGAAAAGTAAATTAACAGTCGACGGAGCGAAAAGCCAATAAATAAATAATCCCCGGAACGGGACACTGACAAAAACAAACAATGAGTCCATGTTTGCCTACAAGCAACTGCCCAACAGTCGGCGACGACTGCGGCAACTTTATCGTAATTAAGAGCCCGGTTTGCCCGACCGCTTGCCCCACGGTTTGCCCAACATCACCCCCCGTTGTCAACTACTACCTGGTGAAGAGTGTGTGCACAACACCCCCCACCCCACCACCCTGCCCCACCGCTGTCCCGTGCTCGTCAAGCGTTACATTCCTGGACATGAATGGGAAGCAGTGCAACGAGAACGGCGCCCAGTTCCTGTTTGTGAACAATGGCGTGGCGGCCTACAGCAAGCAGTCATCGTGCTACGCAAACAACGCCGGCTACAAGTTCTTGCAGTATCGTTGAACAACCAAAATTTAAAAAGTAAAATTAAAGAGAAAAAAAAGGAAAGTTGAATACATGTACAAAAAAAGTATACATTTATTCAAGGGTCATTGCGTTAAGCTCACACTGCGTTTTTAGGGTTTTAGGGTTCAGACTTTCTGGCATCGCAAGTACTGCATCTCAATGCGCGTCTCGAGCGCGTCGCGCACAAGGTCCCAGTCCACGCCGCCGTCAACCATAAACTCGGGGCAGTTTGCCGCCATCTCGTCCAAATCCAGTCCCAACCGCGTACCCTCGGTGTCGTCGCGCGCACGCACCGATAGGTGCAGCAGGCGGTCTGTTAGTTCGGTGTCCACCTGGCGCCTCTCGTTCAGGTCCGTGCAGTCGGTATGTGTCAGCTCGTGCGTCGTGGGGTTGTAGAACATGCGCGCACCGTCGACGGTTCGGTCGTCGCGCATTTTGCTCGGTGGGTACATCGTGTTGGCGTGCACCGGCACACTGGTCGAGGACCCCAGAAGCACTGTGTTCGGGGGCAAGTTCCACATCGCCATCTCGTCGTCGTCCAGAACCGCAGACCCGTTGCTGTACCCGATCGCAATGCTCTGTGCACCCTGGTCTTGGTACCCCGCCCCCGAACCCACGGCGATCGCGCTCTTACCCTGCCCAACGTGTCCCGCCAGGTTACCCACGGCCACGGCGTGCGCACCCTGCTCAGTATGCCCAGCCGCAAACCCCATGGCGACCGCGTAGTCGCCCTGAGACTGCTGCCCCGCACCCGTTCCTATCGCAACCGCACAGGTACCCTGTGTGTCGCCACCAGCGTCCGTGCCGATGGCCACGGTCATCTTGCCCTGTGTGAGCGTCCCGGCACCCACACCAAGGGCAACTGCATGCGCACCCTGGGCCATGGCCCCCGCCCGCTCACCGAGTCCGACCGACCCGTTAGACGTACCATCGCTCCCGGCGTACTCGCCAAGGTACACGTTTACCGCATCAGCGTCGGCGTCGACGTCGACGTCGCCGCGAGCGCCCGCTTTTGACCGGGGCATAAACATGCCGTTCGCCCACGCTTTGCCGTTATATGTCACAAAATCCCCATCGCCCGTGTACGGCGTCGTGAATCGCATCGTAAGCCCACCATCAGGGCCGGCGTCGCCGTCCCGGCCACGGTCACCCATGGGACCCTCGATGGGCGACCCGAGCTCCAATGCGTCCGGCCCCTTGGTGCCGTCGGGGCCTAAAAAGTCCGGGATCTCAATCACGGTGTGCGACTCGAGCTGCACTTGTAGCGTCCGTGTATCGTGTTCGTACACAATGTTCTTTATGCCCGTGCCGGGCGCACCCTTGTCTCCCTTGTCCACTGTCCCATCGACGGGTGTAGCATTTGCATTTGCATTTGTATACACGTTACCCATCTGGATCGTCTGCGCGGGCTTACCGGCCCTCGGTGCCGTTGGCGCTCGGAGATGCATCTCCAGTCCCCCCTGTGGCGTGACCACGAGCTGGTCAAAGTGTAGCCCTGCGGCACCCTTAAGTCCACGGACAGGCGACACAATGCGTGTCGTGCCGTCCGTGTGAGTGACGGTCATTTTGTCGGCGTCGCGGTCCAGCACAACATTGTGGACCCCAACCCCGATCTGACCCCGTTCGCCCGCGGGGCCCGTGTTGCCACGCTCGCCTACCGGGCCCGTGAATGTGCTGCCACTCGCGACCACGGTGCGGCCGTCCGACATGTGGAGCCGCACATGGCCCACTTCGGGATGCACGTCGATGGACTCGACGTCCGCTCCCCGTGCACCCGGCTCTGCAATGGCTCCTGTGTCGGTGCACAGGTCCACGCAGACCTCGCGGTCGCTGACGTCCAGGTACAGCTTGCCGGAACTCACGTCCGGCATCCGCGCGTTGACAATACCCTTGCCCGGCACACCCCTCGGACCCTGGAACGGGCCCAGGTCGTGCACGACACTGTCGGTCGTGTGCACCAGCACGCGGCCGTCTGGCGACGCGGCGATCCGGCTCACCGAAGTGCCCTGTGGACCCACGGGACCCGTTTCGCCCAGGCGAGGCAAATGCAATTTCGACACCGACCCGTTTGCGAGCGTAAACGACATGGTTGCCGTCGCCGGTGTATTGGCCGCCAGTGGCAGGTTCTTGCGCGCCGGTGGCTTCGTGGTCACACGCCGAATACCCAGGTCTGGGTGCCGTGGCACCACCAGCCCTGTATCCGTGTCATACGCCAGAACCCCAAAACCCTCCTCATACTCGGCTTCACGGATGGGGCCCATGTACGTTGCATTTGTGTGGCGCGTACCCATGGCCTTACCGGTCGCATTCAGCACAATCGTGTTGGCGTGCTGCGCGTTGGACCCTGCCAACTTGCCGATCGCAATCGACGTGTCGCCCTGGGCACGGTGCCCAGCGCCGTGGCCAACGGCGATCGTGTCGCGGCCCTGGCTCGCATACCCAGCCTTTGCCCCAATGCTAATCGAGTTCCGCCCCCGGGCATTGGGTCCCGCGTGCGAGGCGCCAACACTGATGCTGCCATTATTGTTGCTGCTATTGTCCATAGTGTGTAACCTCAAACTGCGAGTACCTTGTAAATTTTCTTGATGCTCGCTGCAACGAATCCGCGGATATCGGAGCCACGTCAAATTCGGTTTTTGTTTGCCAGCGTTTCGTGCAGCTGGATGTGTGTATTGCGCGCTTCGAGCACGACCACCACGTTGGGATAGTCGTGTTCGGTCGCCGTGCGGCACGCGCCGATCACATTGTTAACAAACTCGTCGTTGGTAAATATATCCTCGATTCGGAATCCTATGATTTCCATTTGTTGCTCAAACCAGACCGGGTCGTCACTTTGCATCCCGGTCATGGTCTGCAAGACAACGTGTGCCGCGCGGCGCGTTTGCATACTATTGTCCGCAAACCAGACACCCCCCACTGCGTTTTGTGAAAAGCTTCCATTAATCCCCATGGGATTTTGTTGATTCTGCAAGTATGACGCAAACCACTGCGACACAAGTGCGTCCTTCCGGTTCTGTGAGCACATGTCGAACGGAAACATGAGGAAATCGAGTGTTCCGTCGTCTTTGTAGCGCCGCCGCGACACGTCACCCAGTGCGTTCAGCGTAGCGACATCGTCCACCATCGCGCGGTCAAAGTCATAGATCTGTGCAATGTACTGCGTCTCCATGTGAAACATCAGGAACGCATCAGGTAGCGAGTACTCGACTACAGTCGGTTCTATTCTCCAGGTGCAGATCCTGATGCTGCAAATCGCAGTACGACAGGGCCACGATTCCGAGCATTACCTGCAAAACAATCTTTTCCATCCCCAGCGGACCCAGGTCCACGTTGGGATCTTCCATGAGATTCGAAAGCGTCCGGTCGACTTCGGGGATGACCACATAGCCCGCACCCTTGCATTTACCCGTGTACACCACGGGCATAATGTTAAGGCCAATCCCCGTCATCATCATGAAGCTGACAATGTCCTTGTACACCGTCCGCTCAAACTGCAGGTCGCTGTCGCAGCCGGCGTTGCTTTCCAGCTTGATGATTAGCGAGCCTTCGCCCGTGCAAAGCCGCTTCACTACGGACGCGGACATGCTGTCGTCCCTGTTCGACAGCGGAACGCTCTGGTCGGTGATCTCGCACCCCATTTCCGCCCCAAACACATCCGATAGCAGGGTGGACATGAACCGCCGGTTTGTAAACGCCCGTCCGCTGGGCACACCGCGCAGAGCGACTTTTGTCTGCACGCGCTTGGCGGTCACGGTCTGGTTAAGGATGCTCACGGGTGACTGGAAGGTCAGTTTTATGTTGAGCAAGTCTCCACTTGTAAATAGCGATGTGATGTCGTAGTGTTGTTGTTCACCGCTAGTAAAGACTCGCACCAACTCGCACTTGGACACACTGTGCTGTGGATTCTGGAATAGCGTTACCGCATTTTGGCCGGCAAAATTTTGGTCAACAATATCGGCCGAGTCGTAGTCTACAAACGTATGCACGATAGACGATTCTACAATGTCTAGATTGTACTCCGCGTCGAATTTAGCGGTACCATACTCATATTCACGCACTGTGTCTGGGGCGTTTATAGTCTGCAGCGTGGACTTGACTATGTCGGGTGAAATGTGGGGGAAGTGCAGACAAAGATCCACAAACAGGAGCAGGCCTACAAGCGTGTCGACAGCCATGTACATTGGTGCAAGGGAAGCGTGGGTGTGCGTGTACGCATCGGTGGTTAGTGTAGAAAGTGCATTTGTAATTTCGGGTTCGGGTATGTGTTGGAGACTAGTCACGGAAAACAGCGTCGTCGTCCGGGCGTGGGAATCCCACACGGCGACGGCGACCGTATCCGCGTGGCCACTCTGCGAGATTTCAATTTCGGAAAAGACGTACTTGTACTTACCTAGAAGTTTATCGAGTCCGTTTCGCACCTCGTTGTCGTCCAAGAATATCCCACCAAGATAGTAGAGGCTGGGCCATTGGCTGTAGTATTGCTGGGCATCTTTGCCCTGAACACTTTTTGCCACCCAGCGCTTGAAAGTCGTCTGTGAGAACATATTTCTACTTATCGAGAAAAAATGCATATTGGTAAAATGAGTATAAAAACAAGCACACCAGCTCAATTATCATCACTCTTACACAAACAAAAACTAAAATCAAACTAATCTACAAACTCAATCAACAGCATGATGTTCGGAAAACTTGCTCTCCTTGCCTTGGCCGCCACCGCCACCGCGCAGCAGACGGTCCGTGGGGAATTCTGGACGTCCAGTAACGCGTGCGCATCTACACCGCAGATCAGTATGGAAAGAACTGAGGGCTGCACGACCATTTACTACAACGGCCAGGGCTTCTTTCTCAACACGAAGTGCTCGAGCTCCGGTGTCCCGTCAGTGAGCGCGTGCTCCACATCGTCGTGTAGTTCGTGCACACCGCTGAACGTCCTCAACAACCAGTGCGGCCACGGGTTCGGGGTTGTGTCGTCAGCCAAGGTCGCATGCATCGGCGGCAACTACGGGAGCAGCGGATCGTCGTCATCGGACCTTTCGGCCACGTACTTTTCGTCGGGTGCAGAGGTCGCCAAGGCAAACACGGTGCTCGGTGCACTTGCGTTGGCGCTTGTGGTGGCCGCTGTGGCCATGTTTTAGCTAGTTAGCATAGGAACAAGATCGAGGCCTTTTCGTTGAATAAAAGTCGGTTTCAAAAAAAAATTTAAGTGTTAAACATTTTGAAAAGAATAGAAATGATCTGGATCATAGTTTTACTTTTTGTATTGCTCATCGTTGGGATAATCATTGCAGTCGTATTGTTGACTAGCAGGAAAACTGTAGACGTGCACGTACCATACTCTGACAACGATCCTATCGTAGACATGCACGTACCATACTCTGACAACGATCCTATCGTAGACGATCTCGACGACTTTGTGCCGCCAAGTTCAGGGTCATGGAATTCGGTGGCGGTGCAGAACCGTACGGTGACCGAGATTATGCCCATGTGTGGACTGGTAAAGGGGGGCAAACTGCTCAACATTCGCTTGTACGCCAACAACTGCTACAACGGAACTGACGTGACGTTTGAGAAGCTCGACAAGGACTTTGAAAGTCTGGAGCCGGGTGTGAGTGCAATTGTGCGCCTGTACTTTGTGGACGGCCCGGACCGGAACAAGACGCCCTCGTGGGCGACAACAGAGGGTGAAAAGGGCACAAACGACTGGAGCGACCCCAACATGATGAAAATGGCGTCGGAGCTGTTTGAAAAGCTGACTGTGCATTTGCGCGACGAAACCAGGTGCTGTCTGCTGCAGCTTGGCTTTGGGTTCTGGAGCGAGTTCCACTTGTCCGGGATTACCATGCGGCCGGGTGAGAACTTTCCCACTGCGGAGCAGATCGACACGCTGTATGGTATTGTCAAGGCCCACCGCGGCCCATTACAGATCGCGGTGAGTGTTGGGGTCGGGGATGACGAGCGCGAACTGAGCGACAGCTTCCGATCGGACACGACCATTGGCATTTTCTACGACTCGTTCATGAAAACCCGGGGGTCTGAGTCCGCGTACGAGCTCAAGCTGTACAATGGGTGCCACTACGACGAGCGCGTGTATACAATGAAAGGTGGGGAGTTCTCCAACGGCGAGGGTACACTGGACTCGATTATGGACACGACGAAACAGCTGATGAAGAAGCGCGCGATGCACTACGTTATGCCGAACGGGACTTCGGATATCATGTCGTCCAGCAGTAGCAAGATCCAAGAACTCTCGGCGTATATGGGCTACCGGCTCAAGGTCGCGTCCGTGGACACGAGTGGCGATGGGTACACGCGGCTGTCGGTCACGAATGTTGGGATTGCGCCGACGCTGTACGACCTCAATGTCGTGCACGAGAATGTCACGTTTGAGCCGAGCCTAGCGCAACTAAAGCCGGGGGCGAGCCGGTACGTGTATGGTAAGATTACCGTGGGCGACAATGCATCGTTTGAGGCGGAGGGGCCAAGATATTTGGGGGGCGTCAAGCTCTTATAAGAGCCTATGGTTTACATATACGTTTACTGTAAAACGATAAACCACATTATTGCGTTTACTCCCACCATCAATACGTTTACTGTAAACCTGAGCCGAGCCTAGCACAACTAAGGCCGGGAGAGGGCCGGTAAGTGTATGGTAAGATTACCGTGGGCGAAAGATCATAGGCACCCTACGGTGAGACAATAGCCCCCCCTACGATGAGACAATACCCCCCCTACGATGAGTTGCCATGCTGGCTCCGGTGCGCAAGCGGGTTAGAAAACATGTACGACCTCAATGTCGTGCACGAGAATGTCACGTTTGAGCCGAGCCTAGCGCAACTAAAGCCGGGAGCGAGCCGGTATGTGTATGGCAAGATTACCGTTACTAAAACATAAAACAATAACCCCCTTATTGTGTTTACTTGAAAAACGATAAACCAGACTAACACGTTTACTATAAAACAATAACCCCCTTATTGCGTTTACTTGAAAAACGATAAATCAGACTAACACGTTTACTATAAAACAATAACCCCCCTTATTGCGTTTACTTGAAAAACGATAAATCAGACTAACACGTTTACTATAAAACAATAACCCCCTTATTGTGTTTACTTGAAAAACGATAAACCAGACTAACACGTTTACTATAAAACAATAACCCCCTTATTGCGTTTACTTGAAAAACGATAAACCAGACTAACACGTTTACTATAAAACAATAACCCCCTTACTTGAAAAAAAAAATCGAGAAAGAAATATTCGGGGTTTCAGATAAAATGTCAGAGTTACAGACAAAATGGTGCCACCAATTACCAATGTTACATGCGACTGGCACATCATCGAGAACTGTCCGGCACAGATTGATACCGAAGTCAATGGTGACATAGGGCTTTCGTCAATCCATGTGGTTGGAGATCGGACAGTAGCAGGTACGTTCTTCAGCGCCAAGGGAGTGGCCGACATGGTAGGTGTTGTAAACACACAGACCGTCTACAATTCTATACCAAATGAATACCGGGTGAAAATCAGAATCAACAACTCCTGGTTTGTTTACCTCGACACCACGGGGCTCATGATGTACCTCATGTCATCTAAGCGCGGACGTCAGACTGCGTATTTCCAGTTGATTATGAGCATCGTCGCAGCCTACTCTACAAGTGACGTTGCAAAGATCCAGGATCTCGTAAAGCCCGTACTTCAGGTGACTCTGGGGTCCAGAGGCATCTCAACGATCGATAGCGGTATCTACATGATATGCATTGGTAAAGTCCGAGACCTCAAGCACCTCTGTACGACACTGCCAGCGAGCTGCTCTGATGACGACGATGTCTATAAATATGGCAAGTCCGACAACATCCACCGTCGAATGGGCGAGCATAGTGTCTCATTTAAGGATGCTGATCTCAAATATGCCGTGTACATTGCGTCGCACCTGACCAGTACAGCGGAGCGGGCAGTCTCTTCACTGATCAGTAGTCACTCGGCAGCGACGAGGTTCCCAATGAACAAGCACCGCGAGATTTTCTCCGTGCCTGCCGCAATGGCAAAATCGCTGCTTGACGAGGTTGTCCACGTTTGTCGCCAAGTCTCGGCTGGTGGACTCGCGGAAGAGCAGCGGCTGGTGGCTGAGTTGGAACGAGTTAAAGAGGGAATCGTCGCAGACAACAAGCTGTATGAAAAGACGCGTGCCACGGAGGCCAAGTACGCCAGTCAGTTGACAGACATGGCGGCGCGTGAAAACGAAGGTCTGCGTTCGGCCTTACGTACTTCGGAAGAAGCACGTAAGGCTGCAGAGGATGCACGCTTAGACTTGAGTCAGAAACTCACGTCGACACAAGCACAGCTCATTGAGCTTGCCATGCTGGCTCCGGCGCGCAAGCGAGTTAGAAGAGCCTAGTTTTTCTTAGTGTGTGTTCTGCTGCTGAAATATACAATAAAAAAATAAAACAGTTTTCAAGTCGAATTTTTACTTAGTCATGCGCGTGCGCTTCCGCGGTGGTGACGAACTTCGGATATCATGTCGTCCAGCAGTAGCAAGATCCAAGAACTCTCGGCGTACATGGGCTACCGGCTCAAGGTCGCGTCCGTGGACACGAGTGGCGATGGGTACACGCGGCTGTCGGTCACGAATGTTGGGATTGCGCCGACGCTGTACGACCTCAATGTCGTGCACGAGAATGTCACGTTTGAGCCGAGCCTAGCGCAACTAAAGCCGGGAGCGAGCCGGTATGTGTATGGCAATGCAGTGTCATTGCGTTAACGAATCGTGAATCTAAAATATAAAAATGTACAAATCAATTACTGAAAAGTTTGCAAGACCATGAACAACATGTGGATTGTTCGTAACCGGAAAGTGGACACATTCGCAACCGTTATTGCGTCCTTAATGACCGCGTCGCGGTCTTTTGGTGGTCTTGCGTGCATAACCAAATTATTAAATACAACTGTTGCACCATCGTCATTATGTAGAGCACGACAACGTATTTCGATAAAAATCCTCAGTGATATCTTGAAGAGTATCAACCCACCAGCGAAAACAGCGTGTAGAATAGTTGCAGTCGATGGATCTAAGGTAGCCATTGGCCCTAGCAATACGTCATTTGCAAAACATGGTAATAGTAAATCTGTTAGACATGCGATGATCTCTACGATGTACGACGCAACCAATAATCAGCCAGTGGATAGTCGTATCTTTGAACACCACAACGAAAGAGATGCAGTTCTTCAGCGACTCGATCAGATAAATAAACTGCACGATATCATGGTTTTTGACCGGGGGTATTACTCTAAAAATCTTATGGAACACCTCGACCAGAATGGTTATATGTATGTGTGTCGTTTAAAAAACAACAGTCAAAATCCTTACATGAGACGTGGACACACGTTGTCAAAGTTTATTTGGACCGAGGGGTAATAAAGGACATTTATAAATCACGTTGGAGCGTCGAATCGTATTTCAAGGTTTTAAAATCAGATTGGGGTTCTTCCAAGTTTGCGTCATTTGGAGTGACTGCTATCCAGAAAGAGTTACTATTTCGTGAAATTGATCTTATGTCAGTACTCGCAACGCTCCTAGAGAAATCGTCATCGTGTCATAGCATCAATCTGATTTCACGTGACCAAAAGGTATTCGCGAATTTTCACTTTGAGAGCATGAAGTTTTTGGTATAAATATATTTACTTTTCAATGTTGAGAATCACAATTGCACATCACACTATAAGACAAGATGGTATCCGATCTTCCCACTTTACTGGAGAAGCGCTACACAAAAACTCTGAGGTGTCGCCCACCCAGGAATTCCTTGGACCTTTGCCGCTTGCAGGCGACGTACGAGACTGGTGTGGATACTGTCCAGCTTCGAAGGACACCTGTGGACCCCCATCACCAGGTCCGCTGGGATGTCTCTCCACCATCGTGGATAAAAGAGGCTTCTGTGTTATACTGGGACGCCCTATTAATGCACCGCGTCCTTGCCTGGATTGTTAAGATGAAGGCTGTAAAGGTACAGCGATCGGTTTCTGGGTCCAAGAGCACGGTTTTGCTGAACATGGATACCAAGGGACTCTATACGAAGACGTTTTCTATGCGCCCATACTGTGAGAATGAAGACGGAACCTGGACTCAGTATCATTCGGACCTACAAATGAAGCTGGATAAGAGCTCTGCCGCAGAATATCTTGTGCGTCGGTAATGTCCCAACACTGAAGTTGGTGGTGCCACCGAACCAAACTAGAGACGAGATGATCCAACGAATGTCGCCGACCGCGAATGACGCGAGGTCAATGCCGATTGTTTTCAAACTCGACTCTGCCGGCTGTTACAGGGGTAGGATCTCGTTTCCTGGTTACATCAGCAAACCGACTGTTTTACCCGAGATTCGGAATCCGTCAACAAAACCACCCTTAATGTTTGAGCTGCTGGAACAGGCTGATCCGGTTTTCGAGACAGCGCTAATTCACTCTGCTAAGGTTTATGTTGGCGAGCGTGAAACCGAACCACGTCACCTTTCACCGAGGGTACAAGTGGTGCCGTCCGACATGAAGACATTTGAAGCCGCGATATGCTCTATTACCGGCGAAGAGACCGTCGCGTCAATCCGTGTGTTTGGTCAGGTTCTGCACGACTCTATAGACGCTGTTACCCGTTACTTCCGCGACCGATTTGATTTTTCCGAGTTTTGTGCCTTGCTGGACGTTTGTCGAGGTGATGAGCAGTGGGTGACCATTGTGGATTCTCTCTGTGACAAGAGTCCTGGACGCAAATATGATGATGCTCTACTTAGACGGATGGTACAATTCGTGACACGGAATGATCCGAACGGTTTCTGCAAATTTATCAACTCGGCCTCCGGCGACTACATTGATCGCCGCGTCCACGTATGGGCTACTTTGTTAGGTCTTGAATCGGACAATCCAACCAAGACTGACTTGATTCGGGCTGTGAAGACCAGGGGCCCTCCTGTGGAAAATGACGATTCGGGTGAAACTAAGATAAAGATCAAAAGGGGTAAGCGGCGTGCCGGTCCAAGATCGGTAGCGTCCTTACCTGTGGCGACGGATCTTACGTACAACGACGAGGCTTTCACTTTGCAGTTCCGGGGCAAGCTGATCAAGTGGACAGTCCAGCAGTTTCAGCGGTGTACCGGTGCGACTCAGATGCAGATGAATCTATATCAAGTGCCCAAGTCCGCCATGGAGGCCCAGAAGCTAATGATTGGAAGCCTGGTAAAAGTCTCAGTTGAGAAGCATGAGCGTACACTTTCTGTATCAATACACCGGAACTTTGACGAATCTGCGGTGGAAGAACGCCACGAGGCTCTAGATAGAAATGTGCTTGTCAAGATGTACGATTCAGCCCCTGGAATCACTTGTGTGTGGATCCCCCAACCATCACGTTCGGTGTCGAGGATTCAGGCTTCGGTGCTGAATGCGAAGTTCCCACCACTGCCACCTAAAACGACCAAGGACACCATCAAGCCATACTACGAGCGTGTCGACGACGAAATCAACTATGTCTCGAACGGGGTCACTACTACTGTGGCCAAGAGTGCACACATCGGCTCAATGATGGGCAATCTCGTAAGAGTATCGGGGAAACATGCCTGTATTTTCAAGGTATTGGAGGGCGCCATAAAGTCTAGGTCTGTCTCTAGGCTACGGTGGGCTTTCGAAACAACTGTGACGCAACTGGATTATGTTGGAGTTGAATGGAAGTCGATCGGCAACTTTACCGTGGCCAGAAAGATGGCTAACGCGAGAATCAGGCAACAGCTTGAGACGGGCGAGCGGAAGGCAAACTACCGACTTGAAGTATGCAACACCGCATCTTACGAGTACTTCAATGCCAAGAACACAGTCCTCGATAGACCACCAGAGAATGTACTCCCAGAATCGAAGTACCTGGCAGTCCCGTGTCTCGCATACCACGATATCGACCCCAAGACCCTAAATGCCGCGGGGAAGAACAGTAACATCCGCCTGCTTGACCATAATGTTGTGCGCCACAACGTGTACAATGTGGATGCTAAGTTCCAGCGCGCAAAGATGAACTTCTTGGGTGGTCCTAACGTAACACGTCTTCAACTAAAGCCCCTCAAGGTTCCGGCGCCACAAGATGAGGGCTCACATTTCCAGCTGAGGACGGCTCACATTCTAATCCCACGGGATCCCCATGGGTGTGAGCGAGGTCTTAAGCTGAAGACAACCTGGAAAAAAGTCGCTACAGATGCGCTTGTGAATAAGGACCTATTTGAGAAACAGATGGGATGTGAAGTCCGGGCTTGCAAACACACAACCAACGCTAGGCGTGGCACCCCCGGTCAAGATGTTGTGAGTGAAACCGGGGGGGTTATCGGCCGGCGAAGGCTCCCAGTGGCAGCAGATTTCCCCAACGGCAGATTGCCATTTAAACTTAGCGAATCCCACAAACTAACATCGTACACCATCAGTGTTATTGATCTTGTGGATCGCGACAGTGACAGCGCTGTTGTCAAGGGCCTCGGAGTCTCGGACGTTGGGATTTCGACAGCACACTCTATATATGATCCAGACAATAAGCGCTTCTGGGAGTTTGGTCGAGGTGCCACTGGATTTCTCTGCGATACACTGGCCAAGAGAGTAGACAAGGAGAAGTCGGCTAAGAATGTGTCGATGGCAAGATTGTTTAAGAGAGCCTTGCGTGCCCGTGTACGGCGTCTTCATGAAGTATGGCTTGCTGCCACCCTGGCACTATTCTCCGAGTTTGCGTACTCGTTCTCTACCACTGCGGCCTGGATGAAGTCCGAGTTAAGCAAGAGAACACACCGTCGAGCTGGAATTCTCTCACTCTGTCGATTCCACGACAAACTGACACGGGCCACATCTTCACCAAAGTCATCATGTACTCTTGTGGATTTGGGTGACGAAAAATATACGACATGTGTCTTAAGGTGTTGTGGAACGCGATTACATAATGTCGGATGTAGCAAGGTACTATATTGCCATAGATGTAGAATATTTATCCCTAGAGATTTCAATGGTGCAGTGAACTGCTACCGCTTGTATATAGCTAGAAAAAAACTAGTCCCCAATGATCTAATAAATGAAGGCGGTCTAGGTGAGCTTAACGCAATGACCCTGCTACGATGAGACCGTAGCCTACGATGAAAAAGTCGAAAACATCTTCTGGGACCACAATCGACATTAGAGGTGTCAAACTTAAACGGTATACGATGCTGGCCCCTACTACTGAAATCACATGCGGCTGGCGGCCGAGTTGGAAAGTGTTGAAAGGAGTATCGTCGCGGACAACAAGTTGTATGAAAAGACACGAGCCACGGGGGCCAAGTACGATACGAGCACGCGCAGCTGGCTCCTGCGGCTCGTGTCTTTTCATACAACTTGTTGTCCGCGACGATACCCTCTTTAACTCTTTCCAACTCGGCCACCAGCCGCCGCTGTCTATGCTGGCTCCGGCTCGCAAGCCGCGCCGAATGCGCTTCCGTGGCGGTGACGGGGGTGATTGCGGCGATAGTGGTCGTGTACCCAGACGGGGCGGAGCAGTATGAAGGACGCGGGCAGAGGTCGGCGGCAATATCGGGCAGGATGGTGCTGTCCATGTTAACGAGCGCATCGAGGCGGTCCCGGAGCGGGACGGCGTAGTCGAGGTGGAAAGGTGTTTCCACAAAGTCCGCCATGGGGTTATTGTTTTAGGGTTTAGGGTTTTAACAGGTGAAGATCTACGATGCAAGTTCTGGGACATAAGGAGGCTCTGTCGCACTCACAGTGTTACACGTGTACTGGCAGCCGTCGGAGCCAGAGACGGTGCGGTACCTGGTTTCAACATTTCCAACGTCCAGTGAGTTGTGTGCGTGAACTCGTAAATAGCACGAAATAATTAGTATGATCGAAACTACAATGGTGATTATTTCCCACGCCATACTTATTTCTTGTATAAAAAGAAAAATGAGCACGTTGCGCGTAATCGCACTGTTTTTGGTCGTCATAGCAATTGTACACGTCGTGTTGTACATCCAATTTTTTTGGATTTCCGACAAAAACGAACCTCGGTTTCGATCCTCAATGCTCGCACTCTGGGAAGCCGGTGACCCAACAATATCATGCGATAAAAAAATGCCCTGACCCCACACCAAAACCAACTCCAAAACCAACTCCAAAACCAACTCCAACTCCGCTGATGGGTACCACTGGTTGCAGTATGAATATGTACTCAACATATCGAAGAAATCTTAAAGAAATAGAGGAAATGTGGAACAAATTTATGTACAAAGAACACGACGGCCTTGGTTTTGATGACACTGTAAATGGTGCTCCCGTCACTCGAATCATTATGCCGTCCCTCAAATGCAAGCCAACCTGGATTCCGGGCAAGACGTATTACTGGAAATCGGGGCGTGGTTTTTACCTGTAGGTGTCAAAGTTAGGCGTCGGGAGATACTTATGCCATGCTGGCTCCGGCACGCAAGCGGGTAATAAAAAAAAATTAAAAACAGGTTTCGAGTCGAATTTTTACTTAGTCATGCCGCGTGCGCTTCCGCGGTGGTGACGGGGGTGATTCGGATGTCTCGCCTACGCGCCGAGTGCGCTTCCGTGGCGCGCGGTATAACTCTGCAATTATCGCATCGTCAAGCGGCAGAACTGGTGCTCGCGCGTTCTTCCGCGCTATTGCTTCGGCAATGTCTGCATCGTATTCGCGCGACAGCAACCCGATCGCCACGCGGCAACTAAACGTGCGGCAACTTACAGCAACTCGATCCGGTATAATTGTGGCCAGTCGCTTATCAAGAAATGCCATTACGAGCTCGTCGAGCGACTGTTGCGATGCTCCCTGGACAGCGTTGTCTAGAACGCGTTTGCCGTACCCGTCAAACGCCTGCGTTCGTTCACGCACCAGCATAAACAGTGAAACTTTTGCGTGTGCTACCGACGTCATTTCTTCCGTATCCGCAGCATCCACGTAATTGAATATCAAGCGGGAAATGAATACCGGGACACTCGCAAACTCGTCTCCAAATATCCACTCGTTTCCAGGCACATCATACCGGCATTTGACCAAATACCTCGAAATGTAG